TTTTGTTTCCTAATGTTTCGCCAGCATCTGTGACCGGCATCTTCAGAGACGGCCACACAGCCTGGAAGACCCACACCAGCCATCGTATTCCGGCCGTGAAAGCCTTCGACAATACATTATATAGCTTTGTCACTCCTTTGCCAACTTGCAGCCAGTCTGTTTTGCAGCATAGGCCTTTCTATGATCAATGAAGCACATATCAACTTCCTTTTAATATTCTCTGGCTTTCTTAACTTTTAAATCCAACCTGAGCATCTGGCATCTCTCTTTCATATAGGGTTCTTATTTGCCTAGCATGTGAAGGATATTGTACAATAGTTTGCACACTGTTAAGTCTCCTTTCTTTGGTACTGGTATGTAGATTGATCTCTTCCAATCTGTTAGCTACTGTGTCATTCTCTAGACATCAAATTAACATAACTCGGTCTTTGGCAGTCTCTTTTCACATTCATCCTTACAACTTCTTTGATTTCATTCCACAGCTTTTCTGGTTCCCTATCAATGAAATTGAGGACTTCAAATACATTCCTGATCTTCTTATTGAAAATGGTGGGTCTAAAGGCACCCTGCATGAGGGGCCATCATCTGGCACTATATCATCAATCACTTTATATTGTCTATCCAAGTGTTTTTCTTGGTAAAATATAGGAGTGGTTTACTACTGCCTTCTCCCACATAGTATGAAATGATGCCTTTGCCACTGCCATTGAAGTGATCATCTGCCTTTGGATCTTCCTATATGGCTGCTGCCCAATACAAATCCTTGCTTGTCTTAGCTGGAGAGTTATGACTTTCATACCTTGGGTGACCTTGCTGGGAGTATATACTCTTGGTGTACACTCCTAGCATTCTTTGCTCATTCCTCCCAGGAATATCTCACCATCCCCACTATGATGAGGCAGTATAATAGGACTTTAAGGAGAGACAGATCTAGTGAATGGATATTCTATGGTGTTTTTTTTTATCCACACTCAATCGTTACCGATTCTGCGGCAACTGCCTAGACAAGTCCCTGCAGTTTTCAAGGCAAGGTGTTTCGGAAGTGGTTTGCCAGTGCCTCCTTCCTAGAGCAGAGCCCAGCTGGTGAGCACAGGAGGCAGGGTTTCCGTTGCTTCGCGCCTTTTTCGGGTGTGCGCGGCTTCCGCGTTACTGGCAACTGCTCCCGTCTCCTTTGCAAGGCGCCACCAGTATTTTTCCTCCCACCAGGGTGAGAGTACCTATTTATCTACTCACATAAGTTTTCGAGCTGCTGGGTTGACAGGAGCTGGGGAGGAAGCAGGAGCTCA